TAAATGGCACCTGAAGATGAAATTGTGGCTAATTAGAGCACACTTCCCTGTAATTGAGCTGTGAAAATAGAAGCAGCCATGGACTACAGTAGTATCATCACTATAATAACCGCAGACTATGAGCATGCAAATGTCAGTTCCATGTTAATAATAGCTCCAAAGAACATGCATATCCCGAGGAGGAAACAACAGGCTTTGACATGGAAATAAAGCAACAACACAGCCAGAAGCATAAATGCAGGTATCCACTACAGATGAGAACTTGCCATGTGGGAACAGACTGATATAGTAAAGCTCTATTTCCAGCTGCTATGGTAATTTCACAGCATCAAGCTGCCCTGTTGGATAGTGAAGAAAGTTCAGCTGATTAGACTCACAGTTCTCCTGATACACAGGGTTAACAACCATCCAGGTGCATAGCCATGCACCGCGCAATAATCCCGCTCCAGCAACCCCTCAGTAGCATTCCCATCCATTATTACTGAAAATCCCATTTAATGGAAGGAGAGAAAAAAACTTATACTATTCAAAAATGTTGCATGATGATGGTTTAAAGTATATAGCTCTTCATTAGAACATTTCACTCCTGTCTCTCTGCAGAGTTCTTGAACCCATTGTGATACAAATAAGCTGTGAGGTGGGATAAACATTACTTGAAAAAAAAAAATGTATATATATTATAAGTCTGATTATGTTGTTGTACTAGTCGCACCACTCCTAATAACTGTCTCTGTGCAATGTAAAATTATGAAGCATTATTTTGCTGTGCAATTTGCTTCCACATTGCGTGATGGTGTTGGGTAGCTTAGATAGAAACTAAAGGCAAACTTTTTTCTTTTAGCACAAAAAAATGGCAACCGTCCCAACCTATAAACCAGCCTTAGCAGTAAGATGCACATGGAAGGGCAATGCACATCACAAACAAAGGATATCCGAGCAACCAGCCAGCCTGCAAAACAACCAATTTGGCCTTGTCTAACAGTTTGTGTTAAAAACAGAGGGTTTTGTTTGCACACATTTGCAAGTACATGCGTAAGCCACAGTTCTGCATCAAGGGTCCGCTGTATACTGTGGACCTAACTCTAAAATTTCCAGAGCCTCCATAGTAGGAGCACATATGTCATTGGTTAGGTTAAGGGCAGACTTGCCTAGAGGAGCCCATCCCTCCTCAAAGGTACAGGGACACAAGTGTCGCCCAGCTATAGCAAAATGACACCAAAGGCATCCAGTGTATCCCTGCATCCAAATTAGCCAATGGCACAAAAAATGGCAACCATCCCAACCTATAACCAGCCTTAGCAGTAAGGTGCACATGGAAGGGCAATGCACATCACAAACAATGGATTTACCAGCAAAACTTACCAGTCAGCCTGCAAAACAACCAATTTGGCCCTGTCTAACAATTTGTGTTAAAAACAGAGTTTTGTTTGCACACTTTTGCAAATACATGTGTAAGCCACAGTCCCACATCAAGGGTCCTCTATATACTGTGGACCGAACTCTGAAATTTCTAGAGCCTCCATAGTAGGAGCACATATTGTATATCAATGGATAGGTTAAGGACAGGCATGCCTGGGGGAGCCCATCCCCAAAACCTTTCTGTTAGATTTGGATAAAGTGGTGAGGGTTTAGAACTGCTGTTGGGTTTTTGTTGCTGTCTGTTTTCTCTGTTAGGGAGATTTACTCTTTCTAATTGTCCTGATCAGCATTGTGTACAAAAATGGAGTGGAAATCTTTCAGTGGCGACATTTCTGGTGACAACTAAGAGGCAATTTTGCTCACATTGGAAAGATGTCCTCCCACTTCCTACTAAGCCTACAGGACAGTAAGTGAATGGAAATCTTTGTCTTAATGAAACACAGATGGCAAAAAAGCTGACCTTGTTTTTAACCCTCCCGTACTGTATCCAAAATGAAAACAAAAAAAGGTTTTGGGTTTAGATAATGCTATCATAGTACGTTTCAGTTTTTTTTTTTTAAACCTATGTAACTATGGTGAGTTAAAGCCGAACTTCAACTTTTGATAAGCTGGCCCACTATGCCCCTCACTGACATGGGAAGCCGCTGCATGTGCTATATAAACTGTTTGTAGTTGAGACTACATACAGCACTGTGTTCCGAGTGTGAGCCTAGACCTTCCTTTCTCAGACCTGGAACACAATAGAATCTGTCTGAGCGGCGCTCAGCGAATCGTAGAAAGCAATGAACACAGTGCTGTAAGCTGTATGAAGCCTCAGCTATATACAGTTTTTACAGCACAACTAGCGACTTCACATGTTAGTGATGAACTATGTAAAGTGTAACAATAGCTGGACTTCAGCTTTAAATCTTGTTGCTGTACTGTGGAATTTCCTCAAGTGAACTTTCCTCAAGTGAACTTTCCTCAAGTGAACTTTCCTCAAGTGAACTTTGCTTAATGTGTGCTGTGTGGTGGTGGTAGTATTCTTTGTATGATGTTGTGAGTGCATACACTTTTTGTCACTAGTATTACATATTTAATAATAGGCATGAACTTTGCACTTTTATCATTTTCATGATAACAATAGCCTAATGAGGTCTTTTCCTTGACCTCACTGCTTCTTTATGAATGTAATGTGCTGTTCTAATATCTTTTCCAAGCCTCTTTTATGAGCTGTCTTTTTGCATTTTTAATATGGTCTTGTTTAATAAGCAGGACAAGCAGAAACGAGTACAACTTAAAGTGGTTGTAAACCCTTCCATATATACAGAAAAGTGACTGGCCTCAGGTGATACAGAGATGTAACAAATCCTCTTACATATGTTGTACCTGTTTATCTGCAGTTTTCTCCTCTCTGCATCTTTTTAAAGTCAAGAATTTTTAAATCTTGCCTGAGCTGTCAGAAAGAAAGGGGCGAAGAACTGAAATTACACACTGCAGAGCCCAGTGTGGATAGCTCTGAGAACCACCTCAATGACAACAACCTTCTCGACCCTTTACAGTCTGGCTTTCGCCCTCTACACTCCTCCGAAACTGCCCTACTAAAACTTTCTAATGACCTACTAACTGCAAATACTAACGGCCACTATTCAATACTCCTACTACTCGACCTCTCCGCGGCTTTTGACACAGTTGACCATCCCCTCCTCCTCAAAAAACTACACTCTTTTGGCCTCAGCGACTCCACTCTCTCCTGGTTCTCCTATCTATCGCAGCGCTCCTTCAGTATTACCTATAACGCTGCCACCTCCTCCTTACTCCCTCTCTCTGTAGTGGTCCCTCAAGTTTCTGTCCTTGGACCCCTTCTCTTCTCCATCTACACCTCCTCCCTTGGTCACTTGATAAACTCCCACGGCTTCAATTACCATCTCTATGCTGATAACATGCAAATCTATCTGTCTACCCCTCACCTCACCCCTTCAGTTTCCACATGCATTGCTAGCCTACTAAGCGACATATCGGCTTGGATGTCACTCCACTTCCTCAAACTCAACTTGTCTAAAACTGAGCTCCTAGTATTCCCTCTAGCCCGCGCCACCCCCCACTGACTTCACCATAAATATCGATAACACCATCCTCAGTCCATCCCCTCATGCCAGGGTACTAGGTGTAATCCTAGACTCCTATCTGTCCTTCCAGCCCTTGATCCAATCGCTGACAAAATCATGTAGGGTTCACCTCCGCAACATCTCCAAGATACGACTGTTCCTAACCCCAGAAACCACTAAGCAACTTATTCACTTCCTTGTCATATTACGCCTCGACTATTGTAATTCCCTCCTCATTGGCGTACCTCATCGCAGGCTATCCCCCCTCCAGTCTATCATGAACGTAGCTGCCAGACTCATCCACCTCACAAACCGTTCTGTATCCGCCACCCCTCTCTGTCAATCCCTCCACTGGCTCCCAGTTGCCCAACGGATAAAATTCAAACCACTAACAATGACATATAAAGCCATCCACAACACTGCCCCAATTTACATAACCGATCTTATCTCGAAATATCACCCAAACCGTACACTCCGCTCCTCGCAAGACCTCTTACTCTTTAGCTCCCTTATCTCCTCCTCCCATGCTCATCTCCAAGACTTCTCCAGGGCGTCAATCATCCTCTGGAACTCCCTACCCCAATCTATCAGACTCCCACCTACTCTACTTGCCTTTAGGCGATCACTGAAAACCTATCTCTTCAGGGAAGCCTATCCCGCCCTCTGGTAATTCTGGAATCCTCTACTCTTCCAACCACTCCATCCCCCACAGTTATTACCTATTGTACCACTCACCCCTCCCTCCTAGATTGTAAGCTTCAAGGAGCAGGGCCCTCAAATCCCTCTTGTATTGAACTGTATTGTTACTGTATTGTCTCCCACTATAATGTTAAGCGCTGAGCAAACCGTTGGCGCTATATAAATCCTGTATAATAATAATAATAACTGATTGGAGGGAAGGGACATCCCCCCCCCCCCTTCACACAGCATACAAAAACAGAGCTGAGGTTGTCAATTTGCTGGAGATCCCTCCCCTGTCACCTTTTTTTTCCTCTTATTAACAGGAAAACTGGTTGAAAGTGACTCATGCAGATAGTAGAGGAATGGGACATAAGGCAAAAATGAAAGTGCTGTGGATAGAGACAAGTGCACACCATAGATGGATATGCTTTGTTCATATTTCATGTCTGAGGTTTACAACCACTTTAAGTAACCCATAGCAGCTAATCCGTATTCACTTAACTAAAGCCAGGTAAGTACAATAGATTCTGGTTGGTTACTGTGTGTACTGCACAGTTGCCCACACAAATTTACATACTATCAGGAAATAAGACAAAAGCCTGGCAAATGCTGTCTTATGTCTCTAGGTAGCTAGACAATTCTTCAATAAGACACTTTGATAAGTGAGACCCAGAATACAAAATGCAGTTTTGTAACCAATCAGAATTTAGTTTGAAAAACTAGATTGCTATGGAAAATTCGTAAATAAACATACCCAAACCTGATTTCTCAAAAGCTTTACATTCTAAAATTTTTATTTTTGTCTTTTTTAAGACAAACCATCAGTTTCTACATACCGTGAATGAACAACAAAAAGAAAATGACCAGCTACAGAAGCAGCTCAGGTACCACTTGTGTGTTTTGTTATGTGTATGTACAGTTTATTTTCTTAAGTGATATTTTGTAAATCATCAAGGTAATCCAGAAAAATAGAGTAATAGTAACCATTATGACAGACAACGGTGTGTTTAGTAACCCAAAACCACACAGCGCTGCAGAAAAATATAAAGTGTTAAAATGTGTACATATATATATATATGTGTATATATATATATATATATATGTGTGTATATAACTGTATCTATGTATGTGAATATATAAAACAATTTGTCTATTCATTGCTGCTACCTTACTATCAAATATCACCAACATGTGAACTAAAGATGATCCACTATAAGTGCATCTCCACCTCACTGGTAGCTCTGTGAAAATGCCAAATATCACAGCATGATATAAATAGCATTTCATTTAAGCGAAATCCTCTTCTTTTGTTGTGCATATTAGCTCTATGTAATCACCACCCTCAGAACAATTGGGCTCAGACACCACGTCACTTCCAGTTCTGAGATATATGCCACTTCTCGTCGCCACGTAATCATGCCCTGACATGTTTCGTCACTTCTAACTTCATCTTCGTGATTTTATGCATGAGGACTTCTTTACATTTAGGCTACTTTCACACTGATCCACAGCAAAAACACATAGGAGTTTTTACCACGCTTTTGCCGCGCTTTCTGAATTTTTTGAAAGGATACATGACTTAAAAAGTGCACCAAAAACGCTTCTCAGAGGCGTTTTCCATTGATTTCAATGGGAAGAGGCATTTTTCTGGCTTTTTTTTATCTCACCAAACTAGTCCCAAAGATGCTGCAAGAAGGAGTTTTTACACCGCACCACACACGCAATGCCTCAGTGTGAAAACATACATAGATATACCTTCACATACATAGGGAAGCTTTTTCCTTTTCAGGAGCTTTTTTTAACGCAAAACCACTTCAGAAACTCCTCAGTGTGAAAGTAGCCTTAACCACTTCCCGTCCGGCTGTTGTATATAAACGGCCGGACAGTGACAGTGCAGGGGTAGGTGGCCATTTATAAATGTCCTTCCTGCCCCCTGCTTGTACACGCTCCCTGGGAGAGCGCAGCACCGCGATCCGGTGCACTCTGTGTCCTCCGGAACACCGATTGGTGTACGGGACCTCTGTGCGAGGTCCGGATCATCTGGTCACTGATTGGCCAATCAGTGATCACATGAAGAGTAGTAAGCAAGATGTCACTTCTGAGATCATTGCTTACTACGTGTGAAATCTGTGAATGATCACAGAGGTCACATGGTACAAAGCTATTCACAACAGCCTTGTACCATGTGACAAGCTGTGACCAATCACAGCTCACACAGTATTCCTCAATGGCTGCAAGAATACAGCCAGAGAGAGAAGGAGAAATTATTGCTTTTACAGCCTTTATGGGTGTAAAAGCAATCAGTGTAAAAAAATCTTCATAACCCCCCACAAGTAGTACAGTGTCACCATGGTGACACTGTACTGCTAGGATGACAGTATGTAAAAAAAATGCATAAATAACCATATAAAAAAAAAATAAAGATGTAAAAAAATATATTTTTAAATTATTATTTTTGGTTATAAACTAATTTGGGTTATTTTTTTTTTTTTATTAAGATAACTGAATAAATTTTGGCCAAGATTTATGAAGTAAGATTATTTATTTGCAAAATTTTATAAGAAAAACACTTTTTTTTTTCAAAATGTTTGGACTTTTTCATTTATATAGCAAAAAAATAAAAATCCCAGTGGTGAATAAATACCACCAAAATAATGTTTTATCTGTCTCAAAAAAATGCTAAGAAATTCATATGGGTACAGTGTTGCATGACCGCGCAATTGTCAGTCAAAGTGTGATGGCACTGAAAGCTGAAAATTTGCCTGAACAGGAAGGGGGTAAAAGTGTCCAGACTTGAAGTGGTTAAAGTGTTACTAAACCCACAACAGAAAAATCAGTCTGTAGATGCAGTAAAGCATGCTGGTTATACACTCACTGTGGAACCTAAGGGGTTAATCCTCTGCATTGTGTAAAAAGGCCTTTTGATCCTGTCTCCTCTGTTCAAATGTCCACGTCTTATCTCCTGATAAGACAGACTGAACCATAGCCATTCCGCACTTGCTCAGTTTAGTGTGCATTGCTAGAGAGTTTTTTTTTTCTTGGTAGAGTGCATGTGATCAGCACAGGGCCAATGAGCACTGTCCAGACAGAGGTCAGGGGTTTTGCATCCTCCTAGAGAAGAAAGAAAACTCCTCCTACAAGCTTTAACTTGTGCTCTGCTGCACTGATAGAAGTCACAAGACTGCTCTAACTGCTGATGAGAAAAGGTATTTAGCAGTTTATATTTACTAAAATAATTGCACTTCCATGTTCTGTGTACTATGGGAGACCAGATATAGTGAATGCAGGGTCCTGAGTTTAGTAGCACTTTAAATACAAGGTATTAGTTCCATTTCAAGTCTGGCATTTTAGGAATTAAGGTACAGATTTGTTTTATCAGCGTGATGTGAGATGTTAACATCATCCCTGTGATAGGTTTACCTTTCAAGAGTAAGGAAAGGTTAGACCTTTAGCACTTTAATGTTATTTATGTCAAGTTGTGATATTTGCAGTTTTCACAGCACTACCAGTGAGGTGGACATGCACTTATAGTGGATCATCTTTAGTTCACATGCTGGTGATATAATGATGTGTTTAAGACTATAAACTAGTATGTACTGTCCTTGTAGTATAACAATTCTAATAACATTTTACAAACTTTTATTTATGGCCATTATATTGTCTGTCATCAAAGATATCTTTCACACAATGTTGTGATTTATGAGTTTGTTATAAAGTACTGCACAAAAGCATTTTGACTGTATGAATATGTATCAGTAGCTCCTTTATTTAATCTAATATGCATTGACAGACAAGCAAAAGTGGACTTAAAAGTAGCAACCATGAAGGTCGAAGAACTGACTCAAATAACGGAAGCTCTAGAGGACCAAGCAAAAAAAAGAGTAAGCATGCTTTCTGTTTCTTTTTTTTTCCTTTAGCTGTATATGGTGATTGGTCATGGTATGTTTATACTGTAAGCTAAAGTGTAATTTTATCTTTCATTACATTTTGTTAGACATTGGACAATTCTTTGCAAACTAGTTTGCAAAATTACATTAAAACAAGCCCTCACAGATATCTATAGCTGCAGGCACCTTGGAGTAATTTATCCTCAAAGGTCTGAGAAAACTATATCACTTTCACTCTCATTTGTTTTCCTCAGTAGACCCTTGTGTTCTTCTCCAGTAAGTTGGCAGCCTGACGGCATTCTACTTTCTAATGTAAACACAAAGCAGATACACAGGTAGGGGGTGGGGAGAGCAGAATTAAAACACTGAACTTTACTGAATCTACTGTGAAATTTGCTCCTCAGAGATTGGTTTTTTCAGGTTTTCAGGACGCTGCTTGATGATTATTCTCTCTGTGCCCCCTGTGCTGCCAGGTTGTATGGAGTCCTGTATAAGTTTCCTTTACATGCATGCTCCTACTCTGTACTCCGAATCTATGTATAGTCGCTCAGAGCGCCACACACAGCCAGCGAAAGAGGGAAACACAGAGGAAAAGCCACACTTCTCCTCAATCACCACTTTTATGGAGGAGGCACAGAGAGAATTGGCATCAAGCAACATGGCTGGATGACAAATGAAGGAAAAAAAATATATTTTAGATTTAAGGAAAAAAAATTAATTTGGTTCCACTTTAACTAGTTGCCGACCACAGATAGCAGAATGACAGCTGCACTGCGGCCGGACAGCTCTGGGTGGACGTCATATGACGTCCTCTCAGAACGCACTCTCCTGCGCCCTTTAGGGGCGCACACCTGGCGATCTCCGTGATCGCCGTGTCCTACGGACACAGCTGATCACGTGATGTGCTAAAAGGCCAATCACAGCGGCCTTTTACCACGTGATCAGCCGTGTCCAATGACATGCTGATCACAGGGAAATGCAATTGCCGGTTCTGGGCTGCACTTTCCTCACGCTGTCAGAGCAGAGAACCGGCAGTTGTCAGAGCAGGGATCGACACCAATCATCAGGGCACTGATGGTCAGTGCCCAGCAGTGCCACCCACCAGTGCCACTCACCTGTGCCACCCACTAGTGCCCAGCAGTGCCAACCACCTGTGCTACACACCTGTGCCTAGCAGTGCCAAATACATGTGCCCAGCAGTGCCACCCACCTGTGCCCAGCAGTGCAGTCCAGCAGTGCTGCCAGTCAGTGCCACCAGTCAGTGCCCATCAGTTGTGCCAGTCAGTGGCCAGCAGTTGCGCCAGTAAGTGCCCAGCAGTGCCGCCAGTCAGTGCTCAGCAGTGATGCCAGTCAGTCCCACCTATCAGTGCTGACTATCAGTACCCATCATCAGTGCCACCTATCAGTGCTGCCTATCAGTGCCCTTCAGTGCTGCCTATCAGTGCCCATCAGTGCCACCTATCAGTGCCCATCAGTCCTGCCTCATCAATGCACATCAGTGAAGGAGAAAAATTACCTGTTTGCAAAATGTTATAGAAACAAAGAAACTTTCATATAGGTATAATCTTGCATGACCGCGCAATTGTCATTCAAAGTGCGACAGCGCTGAAATCTGAAAATTAGCCTGGTAAGGAAGGGGGAATAAGTGCCCGGTAGGCAAGTGGTTAAGGATGAAGTATTTTACAGTACAATTCTTGTGGCATTGGATTAAGTACAGATCTGTGGGGGGGAATTGATGGTTTAGGCTAGGGCATGGGGCAAATAAACATGTGGAAATGATTCTAAAGCTAAATTTTTTTTCTTGTCATACCCAGCTGTTCTGTGCAACAGAGCAACCCCAATTCTCCTCTTGTTGGGTCCCCCATCACGCTGCTGGCTCCTCCTCCCCACCGAGTGCCTCCATAGCAAGCCACTTGTTATGGAGGCACTTGTGCAGGATCACTCCCGAGCCTCGCTGTCTGTGTCTACTGACGCGGACAGCGGGACTCAGCCCTACCCCACTCCCTTGTCACTAGCTATGATTGACAGCAACAGGAGCCAATGGTTCACACTGCGGTCTCTGAGCCAATGAGGGAGAGATCCTCTGCTCTTGTGCACACTACTGGATTCAGAGTGGGCTCAGGTAGGTATGGGTGGGGGCTGAGGGGAGGAACTGTATGCAGAAGGTTTTACCTAAGGTAAAAAAAACTTCTGCCTTTATAGCCGCTTGAACTTTGTCTGACAGAGAATGTATTATTTCAAAATGTAGTCCTTGTTAAGAATATGTGGATGTCTGAATTCCCCTAGTCTGACCAGAGTTCTACTTTAAACTAAATATGCTGATAATCAGGCCTATTGTGGAGTAACTCTAATGTTCCCACCTGTAGCTTCCCATGTTGGCAGTCATTTTGCACTTTTCTTCTGTTTAATCTAAAAATTTGAGTGCACAACCTACAGCCCGGTCTGGTTCTAGCAGCAGGTTCAGATTATCTGCAGTTATACCTGCCTTATTTCACTTTCTTTTTATTAACATGCTGGTTTTATGTTGTTAAATTGTTTTTACTGGATTTTCAATAAAGAAAAATTTTTTAATTTAAAACATTTTACAAGCACATACTTCCTGCTCCTATTTTACATGGTTTGTTTAAAAATTGCATATTCAAAATCCTTTTCATCAGAATGATTTTAGTGATATATACATAAGAAATTTGATTTTCTTATTTGTACAGTACAGCAGACAGGCTCCTTTAGATCTTGACCATCTGGTCAGGCCTTCCAGGTGAGTACATTGGCAAACAAAGCTGCTAGGACAGCCCATATAACCCCTTTCTCTTCCAGCAAACCTGTTTTTTCTAGTGTCCTTAGTTTTCTATCTTGTATTTCTGTTATTACTGGACTGAAGAGTACATTTGCTTCTTCAACTGGATAAGTCCCTTCTGTCCCTGGCTGCATCAATGTCAGTGCAGCAATTTGATTACTGCTTTTGAATTAGCACCCTTCTGCAGCACCTCGGGAACTGTAACCTTTACCAGGTTACAGCCTTCAGTCGCAGGACACAGGACAGCTGTACCCCCCTTCTGCTTTGTAGCAACAGTCAAGGTACTGATTAGGATTGTGTGTACTCCTCACGGTGGACGTCAGACAGAATTGGAATGGGGCGAGGGGATAGCCCAGCAAGCACTGTGCACAGGGCCATGATGAGAGGTTATTCAAGGTTCCTCTCAAAACCCTGCACCTGGGTTTTTGGATCTTGAAGTCTCCATTTATCTCAAGTGCTCCGCATTCCTCCTTTTTTGGCCTCTATGGCAGACCTGAAGGGGACAATCTCTACCCTGATAGAAACAGACACACAAAGTGTAAGCCCCCCCAGCGGTTTCCACCTGCTAAGTCACTGTCTGACTCATCAATCACAGCAGCACTGCTTCCCAATGAAGATGGGGTGGGGGGTGATGAGAAAGTGTAAGGTGAATCCTAGAAGTCTGAACACTTCTGGGAGGATGGACATTTTCCTTCTATCTCTCTGAAACTTAAAGAGACTATTAAGGCTATGGTGGACACGGTGGGTTCCTGCTTGATGCGAGACCAGCAGTGTGGGATCTCTTCCCAAGTCTAAGAACCTATTAGGTCCATTAAATTTCACCCAATAGTACGGGATGTACTGTTTGAGGACTGGCCGTGGCCAGACAAAAAGTGTACAGGCCTCCCAGAAGGTTTCGCACAGCAGTACCTAGTGAAGGAGGCCTATCACAAAAAATAAAAACTTCTAGTGGTGGATCTGGCTTTTTCCTGACCCAACAAATCCCTTACAGGGAGAATGTCCCAGATTTCAATGATCCAGTGCACAAAATTTTTGAGGCCCTTCTCAAAGTCTGTTTTGTTCTGTTGAGCTTAGCCATGCAACTGTTGTTGGTGTCTATAGTCATTTGCCACATTCTTGGAGTCTGGGAGTTCAGGGTGAGAGTGTGTGATTTGCAACCCTGACGGATCCTTCTGTGCTACAGATCTTTCAGTGTTACAAAAAATTGGAGCACCTCCTAGTATCTTGCATTCCTGTCACTCCGTGCCAGAACAGAAATACAGAATCCTCTGCTTTTCAGCATTTGCATTTGCAGTGTGTTCCAGTACGGAAAAATGCAGCATGCTGTACTTTTTTTTTTTTTTAAACACACATGACAGCACTGCAATGGTATAAACTAGGCTCATTGGACTATATTCATTTGCATATGCTTTTATACTGCGTTTTTGCTGTATTTAAAAATGGACCTGACTGCATCTGGTGTAAATGAGCCTTTAAAGCCAAGTCCCCCACTCACTTCTGCCGCAAGTCCTGTATGTTCAAGCCAGCCAGGTCAGAGGCTATATCCGCTTCACAATGAAGTCATCCCCACATCAGTGATTTGAGGTAGGCAAACAACATTTCTCAGCCTTCAGATATCTGCGTTGGATCCAACCCAGTGCTTGGAGTACCTGTGCCTAGTCCTGGACACTGCTGAAGCCTGGGTGTTTCTTCCCTGGAAATAAGTGTTGACTCCTATCCAGGCCCTACATTCCAGAAAGCTTCCAACGGTCTCAATTTTGCAGGAGGGTACTGGGTGTCTTGGTGGACTCATCCAAGATAGTGGTTTGCCCAGTTTCCGCTTTAAGCAAAACTAAAACCTCTAATCCTGTACAGCCAAAGAAGCTGCCATCTTAGCTTCTGTTTGATCTGCAGTTGCCTTGGTGTTGCACATGTGATTCATTATGACACCAGCCATTTGATGGCTTGGCGGTTCAGTTGAAAATACAAGAAAATGTGGCCGTTATCAATCATGACATGACTTCAATACAGCTGCTTTGGGAAACCGTTAAAGTGTTACTAAACCCACAACAGTAAAATCAGTCTGTTTATGCAGGAAAAACATGCTTGTTATACTCACTGTGGAACCTAATGGGTTTATCCTCTGCATTGTGTAAAAAGGCTGTTTGATCCTGACTCCTCTGATCCCCCCCTTCTTGCAGTGTCCTCCTCTTATCTCCTGATAAGACATATTGTGTGGAGACACTGCACAAGCTTAGTTTGGTGTGTATTGCTAGAGAGGTTTTTTTTTTCTTAGGCGAGTGCATGTGATCTGCACAGGGCCAATCAGCACTGTCCAGCCAGAGGTCAAGGGTTTTTCATCCTCCTAGAGCACAAAGAAAACTCCTCCTACAAGCTTTAACCAGTGCTTTGCTGAACACTGATATAAGTCACAAAACTTCTCTAACTGCTGATGAGAAAAGGTTTTTTGCAGTTTATGTTTACTAAAATAATTGCATTTCCATGTAGTGTGTACTGTAGGAGACCAGATATAGTGAATGCAGGATCCTGGGTTTAGTAACACGTTAAATACAAGGTATCAGTTTAATTTCAAGTCTGGCATTTTATGAATTAAGGTACAGATTTGTTTTGTCACCGTGATGTGAGATGTTATCATCATCCCTCTGATAGGTTTATCTTTCAAGAGTAAGGAAAGGTTAGACCTGACCTGTCTGTTGCTATGGGAAATTCAAATTTTTAGAGTTGTCACCAGAGCATAACGTGAGGGAAACCCTCCTGTTGGGACACATTTTTCTGTGAAAACTCAATAAGGAGGGAACTTAGTTTTAATGTGGACAGATTTTCTATAACTTTCTATTGTATCTCTGGAGTAAATTAAGGGAGATCCCCCAATGGTACGCAGAGAGAAAAAAATTATCTGATAGGACTTTTAAGACTTCCCAAACAAAACAAAAAAACTGGCGGAACTCGGGGAACCAGTTAACTGTACAAGATGCAAGCTGCTCTCTAGATAGTCAGAGAGTCTATCTATTCTTTGTAAAGGCTGAGTTGGATAAGAAATCTTCAGGAAACATCTATATAATTTCAGAATTTTTTACAGGAAAACACTTTCTTTGTGTGGAATGCTATGTGGAAGGACATCCCAATGCTGACTGGCCTTTAAATGAGATATGACTATAGATGACCAGAATCTTCCTGCTAAGGGACATTTTTCCCAAAACTGAATGAACAAAGACTGTGTCAACCCAGCATATCTGTCCACTGCAAACACTTACTGGCTTTAAAAGGATGTAGAAAAGAAAGGGATGGATGGTGTGATCTTGCATAAACCGCCATGTTGTTTTTTCATATACCTTCCATGAGACATCAGTGTATATAAAGTTAGTTTTCTTTTTTTGGGGGGACATAGTTCTCACTTTTCAAAATCCTAAAATGAGAAATTTGTTTCTAGGTGGCAAGAACTTCATTATGCAACTTGTCTTTATGGTTTAACCATCTTTTTTTAGTATACTAAGTGATTATTTTATTATTCTTCTATAAAATGCTTTTACTTTTTTGTTTTGTCGTATTGGACTTCACACAGGGAAAATATCTCTATAATGGTCGATGTGTGAAATCTTGATCCAACATGTGCCCTGGCTCATTACTGATAAGCTAGTGGATATTTCAGTGCTGGCAATAGCCCCCAAAGGGGTAGCAAAAATGGAAGAGATTTGTCTATGTGCGTCTTTATGCTTCAAGCCATAATTGAGACACTTCTAAAAATCAATAAGTAAACATTGTGAGCAATGAAAATGTATATGTAATGATGTTTTTTGCAATATCTCCAGCTCATTATGAGCAGAAAGAGATCCAGGTGCTTTTTGTTAGTACTGCAAATGGGTTATTTTACAGCCATTCTGTGTGCTCTGTAGGAAGAAGAGGTGTTGGCAGCCCGGGGCAAGGAAGACGCATCAGACAAACGGGTGCAACAGCTCCAGACAGCAGTAACACAATTAGAAATAAGGTAATTACTGTTAAACTGAAAATGAATGGCTTTATTTCCATGCAGACTCTAGCTCTACTTTAATTAATTTGCATGGTTTGAGTAATTGCTTTATGTTTTATACTGTATGGACAAAAAGTATATATAGCAACAGAATTAGTGATAAAGCATTATGCCTGTGATGAGAATAAATGTGGTTAATGTTTAGCGGATTGTTTTCTATAAGAGAAATTAAGACTAAAGCCAAGTTATTCATGGATATGCTAAATATGATATTACAGATCCCCTGTACAGTTACAGAAGATAAGGTACAATTAATTCAAAGTAAAATTAAAGGGATCATGTAAAACATATCCTGGAAGTTAAGTACTTGTGGAAGAAAAGTAAGTACTCTCAATGTCTCTTCTTCCATAAAACCCTAGCTGCTAGCAGTTTTTTTACAAATTGTACACTGGCAGCCGTGCATGCACAGCTCAGTGTACAGTCAATCACAGGAGTTACATCATCCCAGTGCAGCCACTTAAGATGCCCTAGACACTTGACTTGGAAGAAGGCTGGGGGAACATGAAAGAGATGGAGCAATGAGGCGGAGTGCAGAAGTCACAATGCTGGAGGAGGGCATTGTACAAGGTAAATGTGCCCATAACATGCATCTACTGTATGTTGCACATACTTTCACATTATGGGAGGCCAAAAACCTTTAGACCTGCTTTAACTAAAATGTTGTACTATTATATGGTTTGTTTGCTGTTTTCAGCCATGTAACTAATATTTTCATTTCTCGCTGCTGAAAATAACAAATGGCATTATGGCAAATAATGATTATTATATCCCTGAGGCAATGATATGCTGCAAAAAATGGAAGACCATGTTTGTATGGTGTTTCCTGTAAAGATATTAAAGAAGTGATGTGAAGCCCACTTTTACTAGCTTTGCTCTGACTCCGTGTCATTAAAGAGATCCTGTTGCAAGACCAGTCATTTCAATGGAAAATTTAAGTGAATAAGTTTGTATGTGTATTTTATGTATGTTATTTACCTGTAAAAACCTCCCTTCTGTAGACATCCTAAAGTCCTGAAACTGCTGCTGGGTGCTGCTATCTAGCAGCCCCCCCACCAGACTTGGAGCTGTCACTCAAGTGAGAATCCTACAGTATTTCTTTTCTCTCTGGCAGCTGTATAAAAGGTTATATAGGCAGGGCCGGTGCTACCACTAGGCAAACTAGGCAGCTGCCTAGGGTACAGCCACGGCTGCTTGTTTCCCTACTCTCCACCTTGGCCAGATCTGCAGGGTGCTGGGATTGATCCTATAGGCCAGGGGAACTGTAGGAGGATATGTGCTAGGAGTAAGCCGGGGGGGTAAGGTGGGAGGATTTTATTTTGGAAGGCAATAATTTAGAGGGGTGTTAGCTAGGGAAGGGATTTGGGGGAATGTGTCCTAGGTGGAGGAATTGAAAGAAGATGATTGGTACTGGGAGGGGGGATTGGGGGAATTTGTGCTAGGAGAGGAGATTGAGGGGGATTTGTGTTAGGAGAAGGGATGTGGGGGAAGTGTGCTAGGAGAGCGGATTGGGGAAGAATTTGTGCCAGGAGAGGAGACTGGGGGGATTTGTACTAGGAGAAGGGATGGGGGGGGGGATTTGTGCTAGGAGAGGGAATTGATGGGGGATTGTGCTAGGAGAGGGGATTGGGAGGAATCTGTGCTAGGAGAGGGGATTGGGGGGGGAGTGTGTTTAAGAGGGTGGTTGAAAAGGGGGGAAAGATTTGTGCTGGGAAGGGTATTTTTGGAGGGGGTTGTGCTAGGAGGTGGGATTAGGGGGAGAGGATTTGAGCTAGGGTGGAAAATTTGAGGGGAAATAGGATGTGTGCTAGGAGGGGTGAAGTAGAACTACAGGTGAAGTTTTTTTTTTTTTTTTGGAAGGGGGGGGTGGGGGAGCGAAGATGTCAGGTTATCACAGGTCAGCGAAGATGTCAGGTCAGTTATTAGATACTACCAAACTCTCCACACTGATAATAAAACAAAAACTCTATAACTTCCCCCAGAAAAGTCAAATTTTCACCCTTGAAAGTACAAATATCATAAACCTTTTCATTAATCTACATTTAAACACACACCCTCCCCCACAATCTCATACTACTACCATAGTGTCCATAATAAAGTCCCAAATTCAAAATTGAAGATCCAAAGTAAAAATGAAAAAAATTTATAGTCCTCACTCTCCAATCTTCCAACAGTGAAAATGTCCAAATCTTCCCTTCAATCCAAAGCACCTCAAAAAATAAACTAAATATAGTGCATTATCTTTAACAAAAATTAAGTGATATCATGCAAACACACTGGTGATGTAAATACACTAATAAATAAACATCACACACGTGAAGTGAAAATCCACACACTACTTCACTAGTGGTCCTGTGAAACAACCACTGCAATACGTGAAATGCCACAAATACACACTTAGTGATCAGTGTAAAATAGTGCCAAATCTGATAAATGTCACCACTCTACATTTAGGATAATATACAATTACCCTCTTTCTGCTTTCAAAGCATTCTGAAATCCCCATATGCCAGATAGAATTGTCTTCACTGGGAGTATGCTTTCCTTTAATAGGAGTACACAATGGAATCCCCTCCTCCTGCAGCAATGGGCATCGGGATCCCCATTCCTCACAGGACAGATAGGAGCAGACTCAGTGGAGTAATATATATAATAGACACAATTTTATTTAGCAGCTTACATTAAGAAAAAATACCGTCCATCCTCGATTTACTCCCTTCTATGCTGAGACTACCTCAGAATGGCCGCGCTGCTCCTTCCGGCTTAGCGTCTGACATCACGACGCTGACGCGTTTCGTCACTTCCGACTTTTTCACAAGGGATCCAGACATCAAGACGGCGGTTCCTCTTATCCTGCTGAACTATTGGCAGGACACCCCGCCGCCATTTTAACTGTGGGCACCACACGCCGATGCCTTATAATATTCACAAAACCGACTTTTCTCATACACAGTTTCTCCCACTCATACACGGGGAGCAGATGGACAGGTATATTCCCAATATATACATATAAATACCTATTAATACCCGACAACTATATATAAAAACAATCATTGTTACACAACAATGATCCTAATCAGATATTTCTATTATAATAATACTACAATCTATAAATATTTTTAATTAAATCCAATGAACTATACTCAAATAAATAAATCACTACAATAAATAAATTAATTAGATAAGTAAAAATTAAAATCATATCACCATTACAACAATATTAAATGGGAAGAGCACCCTCTACTGGTCTAATTAAATAATCCTAATCAAATCTATGTGATATATGAACCCCAACTAAAATAATTAAATAAATAAATACCACCTCTAATTCATAAATCATTTCCCTTAACCCAAATGGGCAGTATAAATAAAATAAATAAGTGATATAAAATATAATAAAATAAAATATATAAATTTAAATTAAATAATCATACTTAAATTATAAATTAAAATTAAATTAAAATTTCAACGGTGCTATATTCCTATTCACTTCCCCAATATTACAAAAACATCATTACATATTTAATCCCCTATTTTCACCAATCCGAGAAAAAAAGTAATTACAATATAAATTAAATTAAACAATGCCAGTATCCTATTCCCTTGCCGAATGGCAAGATGACACCATCCAATATTTTAATCTAATATATCCATTGCCTATTTTACCAATCAGAGATAAAGCAATTGAGATCTAAATCAATATTTAAACCTCTAGGTTTTAAAGTGCACAGCTGATAGATCCAAAACGTCTCATTCCTGGACAGCATCTGGACCCTATTCCCACCTCTCCAGTGGGCTTCTCCACACTGATGTTTGGTTATCCAATGCACTTGAATGTGAATGGTGACTAGTGGAAGGAATGATCATTAAGCAGCAGAAGAAGCAAAGAAACCATGGATCAATAAACGGAATTATTGGAGTTGGGAGGCATGAGAAATGGAGAATCGAATTTAGGTTAAAAAGTAGATTTTTTAGGGTGCTACTTAGTGAAAATAAACCCTACTAGATATTTTCTAGAAGATAGCAAATCTTCAATTTTTTGTGTATAACTCAGCTTTAAAGCAATAATCTTTTTTTTTTTTTTACAAAATTTCCACTTTCCCCTTTCAAAAATAATATATAAAAAGGCCCATAATATAACTCCTCTCCATCAGGTAATGTAACTTAGCTGATCCAGGCTCCGAAAAGAACCCGACCATATGTTTGGGATCCACCCAGAAGCCTAGACCGGCACCTGGCTCAGCCTCTCAGCAATCCAGCAAGAGCCTATTCCAGCCCCTTCTGCCCCCTCCACAGCCCAGCACTCCAGTGAGCGCTGGAGGGGCAAAGGAGAGAACTGGTGGTTAGTGTCAGATTGTCACTATGACAGTCCAACTATAAGTTGCTGATCACCGCCATTACTAGAATAAAAAAATATAAATGAATTTTCCAGTATATATACCATAGTTTATAGACGCTATAACTTTTGTGTAAACCAATCAATATACACTTATTGGGATTTTTTTTTACCAAAAATATGTAGCAGAATACATGTCCTAAATTTATGAAGATTTTTTTTTAATTTTCTGCTTTATTGGATGTATTTTATAGCAGAAGGTAAAAAATATTGTTTGTTTTGTTTTTTCAGAATTGTCGGGTTTTTTTGTCTATAGCTCAAAAAAAAAAACCTCCTGTGGTGATCAAATACCACCAAACGAAAGCTCTATTTGTGTGGAAAAATAAATAACTAAAAATTGCAGTATATATACTATAGCTTGCAGACGCTTCCACACAAACCAATCAATATACATTTGTTGGGATTTTATTTACCAAAGACATGTAGCATTCTGACCTAAATTTATGAAGAAATCTGTTTTTTTTTATTGAATATGTGTTATAGCAGAAAGTCAAAAATATATTTTTTTCATTTATATAATAAAATATATAAAAAAACAAGTGGTGATCAAATACAACCAAACAAAAGTACTATTTGTGTGAAAAAAAATTATACAAAATTTTGTTTGGGGACAGCATTGCATGACCGTGCAATTGCCAGTTAAAGTAGCGCAGTTTGCTAAATAGCAAAACATGGCCTGATCATGAGGGCGGTAAAACCTTCTGGAGCTCAAGTGGTTAAACTTATCAACAACTATTTAGTGGGAGGACCCTTCTAAATAATCGATTTATAAGCAGTCAGGCAGACTCTTGCAATACGAGCTTGTTAACAGATCTAAGGTAGATGGAACAATCAGACTGCAATGTGTGTGGCCAGCTTTAGAGCTGTGCTACGGATGAGACATTTTGGCAGCTGTAAAACATATTTTGTGAATGTTTTTGTTGCTAGGGAAAAAAAAATCCCAAGCACTGGTAGGGCTGTATCTTCGCAATTCTAATGTTTCTCAATTGGTCATCATTGGCAGCACAGAGAGCTGAATAAACTTTCATTATCCAGTGTCATCTTCATGTGTTCTTTCGAATATGTTTATTTTCTGTGGTGAAACCCAGACAGTTCTCAGTAAAGCCTCAGTGTTCTATTAGGAGTACATATGATGTCTCTGCCAACAGAGCTTAGCTTTTGAGCAGCTACTTTACTTCTACTCAGTATTCTCTGCTTGTAAAAATGAAGTCACAGCCAGTTTATATGATTGAATGTGCTTTCTATATGTGACCTTGTCTGATACTTAGAATGCTGATGCTTGCGTCTGATTCATGAGTGAACTACTTATAAATATCAGACAATGGCAAACGAGTAATAAAAAGCATTAAACATGACCTGTCACATTTCAATTTATAAGCTACACTAGTTGTACTATGGTTAAAGGGAAAAAGTTAGCATTCTCTGTAAATCTAGGTCAGACTGACTCTGTCATGGTTGCTTATATCATTCCTTTGATCTGAGTATTTGTGTTCATAAACCTCATTTTCCATTTTTTCCATGAAGGTTGAAAGCAGCAGTACAAGATGCAGAACAGTTAAAAGGGGAAAAAACACACTTGGAAAAACACATCGGGGAGCTACAGGCAAAATGTTCAGAAATGGAACAAGAGAAATACGAAGCTATTTCCAGAGTACGAGACAGTATGCAGATTGTAGAGGAAGCCAACATTGTGAAAAGCCAGGTAAGACCCTGGAAATCTGTCAGTGTTTCTAGAATATGTTACAAAATCCAGGAGTCCTGTCTAAACAGAGCTGGGGGACTTGGAAAGCAATCACCTTTTTTTCTACGTGGCTCCAGGACAGTTCTGATACACAGGTTTCTTAGCAGGAATGGGGGTCATTTTTTTTGTGTAGCAATACAGAAGATACTACTGACAATATGGCATTCATGTACATGATTTCTTTTTTTCTAAGCAGTAGTAAAGACAGATGAAATCTAGTTATAGTAGTTTTGTTCATCTTTTTACTGATTCGTTTAGCTCAGACCAGCCTCTTTTCAGTTTTGTTGAAGTAATGTTAATTACAAATATATTCTATATTACCACTCTGTAATATACTGTACATAATAATATACTCGTTTTGGTTTTGTTTTTTAGCGAGATTTGTTGCTTTGAACATTTGTTTTGCTCCTCTCTAGACATGTGCTTAGATGCTATTCAGTTTTTTGTGTTTTTTTTGTTTTTATAATACGGTTGTTTTGTGAGCAGGCATGTAAAAAAAACCCATTGCATTATGCTTGGTTAGCTCTTGAGTTTTAGGTGACCTGCACTGTATTGAGACTATGCATGACTAGCAGTTCAGAGTGACTCTCATATTATTTTGTTGGACAGTATAAGGGATCCATGCTGCAATACATCAGTCATGGCAAACTGTACAATTTGAAATAAATGCAGGGGCAGTATTGTTAAAATATGTTTTCAAAAAGTCCCTTTTGGTGGCAGAGATGGGCTCTTTGGATATGCCATTCATTGGTTTTGAAATGGTGACACTGAAAAAATGCAGTGCGGGGGAAGGCTTTATAGTTTTTTTTTAGGCCCACTTTGTACTATAGGATGCTTTGGGGGTGTTTCTCGGCTCTTATGTTTCAGTGTTTGGGTACTGTGTGTTCCTTGTTTTAGAGGGCGCTCTGCAGCATGAGAAGCCTGAGATTTTTACTAAGTATTTGATGGCACCTGGTGATAGTCTTTAGTTTTATGATTTTTGCTTTTCTAGCAATAACCTAATATATATTACATTTACTAAGACAAATACAGTGTGTGTGTGTATATTATACATACACACACACTTAACGACCGCCCGCCCACAGTAGGCAAAGTGGCGTACCTGTATGTCGCTGCCTACTTCCAGGTTTCGGGCACACTCATGCGCGCCCCACCTCAGCCGGCACCCGCTGTTATTGTAGTCAGAAGGAGTCTGTCAGTAAGTCCAGGCCAATGACTCACGGCCGGGACTGCTGATCGACTGTGTACAATCACAGGCCAGAGCTCTGTACACAGGGAATTATATCTAAGTTTCTCATCCTTGCTTTGCAGGGATAAGAAACACAGAGATCTCTTAGTAAAAGCAGCACAATTTACACACATTACACATAGGCACACATTTAACCCCTTGATCACCCCAGATGTTAACCTCTTCCTAGTCAGTGTTATTAGAACAGTGATAGTGTATACTACCACCAATCACTGTATTAATGTCACTGGTGATGTCCATGGCAATTAGGCAGTTTCCCCCAGCGTCAGTTAGTGTCAGATTGCCCACCGCACTGTTGCAGTTTAATTATAAGTCGCTGATTACCGCCATTAGTAGTATAAAAGAATAAAAATTCCACTATATAGCAGGTAAAATAAGCATTGAACACGTCACCATTTTTCTCAATAAATATATTTCTAAAGGTGCTATTGGCGTGTTAATTTTCACCACATGTCGGTAACAACCCATGCAATCCATATATACAAAGAAACCAAAACAAATAAGTTCACAAATTAAGTTATGTGTAATAAAATGGAATGACACAGGGAAAAAGTATTGAACACATGAAGAAAGGGAGGTGCAAAAAGGCATGGAAAGCCAAGACACCAGCTGAAATCTATCAGTAATTAGAAAGCAATACTGCCCCTTGTCAGTACAAATTAATATCAGCTTGTTCAGTCTCAACTGATGGCCTATAAAACGGTGTCACACAACAAACATCTCATGATGGGTAAAAGCAAAGAGCTCTCAAGACCTTCGCAACCTTATTGTTGCAAAACATACTGATGGAATTGGTTACAAAAGGATTTCTAAACTTCTGTACTAAGACATTCTTCTGTACCAAGACAAATCTGCTGCCATCTACCAGGATGACGAAGATGAAATAAAGGTTGGACATTTCAGCAAGACAATGATCCCAAACACAAAGCCATGGAAACTCTCAATTGGTTTCAAAGAAAGAAAATAAAGCTGCTAGAATGGCCCAGAAAATCACCTGACTTGAATCCAATAGAAAATCTATGGAAAGAAATAAAGATCAGAGTTCATAGATGAGGCCAACGGAACCTTCAAGATTTGAAGACTGTGTGGAAGAATGGGCCAAAATCACAATTGAGCAATGCATGCAACTAGGTTCTCCATACAGGAGGAGTCTTGAAGCTGTCATTACCAACAAAGGATTTTGTTCAAAGTATTAAATAAATTTCAGTTAGCATGCTCAATGCTTTTTCGCTGTATATTTTCATTTTATTATACATAATTTAATTTTTGAACTTATTTGTTTTGGTTTCTTTGTATGTATGGATTGCATGGGTTGTTACCGACATGTGGGTAAAATTTCATGTCTATAGCACCTTTAAAAATATATTTACTGAGAAAAATGGTGACGTGTTAAATACTTATTTTACTTGCTGTATTTACCATAGTTTGTAGACGCTATAACTTTCAAGCAAACCAATCAATATACACTTTTTGGGATTTTTTTTATCAAAGACATGTAGCAGAATATATTTTGACCAACATTTATGAAGAAATTCAATTTCTTTTATTTTTATATTGGATATGTTTTCTAGCAGATTTTTTTTGTGTATGATTGTAAAAAATAAAAAAACCCAGTTGTGATCAAATACCACCAAAAGAAAGCTCTATTTGTGTGGAAAAAACAAACAAACTTTCATGTTGCATGACCACGCAATCACCAGTTAAAATAGCACAGGGCGATATAGTAAAAAATGGCCTAGTCATGAAGGGGGTAAAATCTACTGGAGCTCAAGTGGATATACAGTGGGGATTGAAAGTTTGGGCACCCCCGCTAAAAATTTGTATTAATGTGCATAAAGAAGCCAAGGAAAGATGGAAAAATCTCCAAAAGGCATCACATTACAGATTAGACATTCTTATAATATGTCAACAAAAGTTAGATTTTATTTCCATCATTTACACTTTCAAAATAACAGAAAACAAAAAAATGGCGTCTGCAAAAGTTTGGGCACCCTGCAGAATTTATAGCATGTACTGCCCCCTTTGCAAAGCTGAGACCTGCCAGTGTCATGGATTGTTCTCAGTTATCGTCTGGGAAGACCAGGTGATGTCAAGCTCAAAGGTTTTAAATGCCCAGACTCATCTGACCTTGTCCCAACAATCAGCACCATGGTTCTTCTAAGCAGTTGTCTAGAAAACTGAAACTGAAAATAGTTGACGCTCACAAAGCTGGAGAAGGCTATAAGAAGATAGCAAAGCGTTTTCAGATGTCAATATCCTCTGTTCGGAATGTAATTAAGAAATGGCAGTCATCAGGAACAGTGGAAGTTAAAGCAACATCTGGAAGACCAAAGAAAAATATCAGACAGAACAGCTCGCAGGATTGTGAGAAAAAACAATTCAAAACCCACGCTTGACTGCACGATCCCTCCAGAAAGATCTGGCAGACACTGGAGTTGTGGTACACTATTCCACTATAAAGAGATACTTGCACAAATATGGTCTTCATGGAAGAGTCATCAGAAGAAAACCTCTCCTACGTCCTCACCACAAAAATCATCGTTTGAACTTTGCAAATGAACATATAGACAAGCCGGATGCATTTTGGAAACAAGTTCTGTGGACCGATGAGCTTAAAATTGAACTTTTTGGCAAAGGAATGAGCAAAGGTACGTTTGGAGAAGAAGGGGCACAGAATTTAATGAAAAGAACCTCTGTCCAACTGTTAAGCATGAGGTTGAATCAATCATGCTTTGGGGTTGTGTTGCAGCCAGTGGCACAGGGAACATCTCACGAGTAGAAGGAAAAATGAATTCAATAAAATTTCAGCAAATTTTGGATGGTAACTTGATGCCATCTGTGAAAAAGCTGAAGTTAAAGAGAGGATGGCTTCTACAAATGGATAATGGTCCTAAATACACCTCGAAATCCACGGGGGATTACATCAAGAGGCGTAAACTGAAGGTTTTGCCATGGCCTTCACAATCTCCTGACCTCAACATAATTGAAAATCTATGGATAGACCTTAAAGACCAGTGCGCGACAGACAGCCCAGAAATCTCAAAGAACTGGAAGACTTTTGTAAGGAAGAATGTGCAAAGATACCTCAAACAAGAATTGAAAGACTCTTGGCTGGCTACAAAAAGCGTTTACAAGCTGTGATACTTGCCAAAGGGGGCAGTACAAGATATTAACTCTGCAGGGTGCCCAAACTTTTGCAGACGCCATTTTTTTGTTTTCTGTTATTTTGAAAGTGTAAATGATGGAAATAAAATCTAACTTTTGTTGACATATTATAAGAATGTCTAATCTGTAATTTGATGCCTTTTGGAGATTTTTCCATCTTTCCTTGGCTTCTTTATGCACATTAATACACATTTTTAGCTGGGGTGCCCAAACTTTCGATCCCCACTGTATATGTCTGTATATCCTTTATATTCCTGCACCACCATATGTCAAGCTAAGTAGTGCATTCAAAGTGTTTGGAAACCCTTACGTATATTCAGTGAGGTGACTATCCTCAGATGATACACAGAGATTAAACAAATCCTCCTGCATACGTTGTACCTGTTTATTTGCAGTCTTCTCTTCTCCACGTCTGTTCAAAGTACTGAATTTATACAGCTTGTCTGAGAGTTCAGAAAAAAGGGGTCAGATTGCTGAAATTACACACTGCAGAAATCAGTGAGTAATGTTTTATTTTGTCCAATATTAAGGTGGCCATATACATTGC